ACATCGATAACGTTGAAATACACCACAATCCAACTTTATGAAATTCTTCCAAAATGCCAACTTTCACAATAGGCGCCGAAACGCTTCCGAGTCATCCAAAATCCGATCCGGGCATATGCCCAAGTCCGAAATCATCCTACGAACCTGTTGGAACTTTCAAATCCCGATTGCGAGGTCGTTACTCAAAGTTAGCCCTTAATCAGATTCTTCCAACTTTAAGCTTCCGAAATGAGAATTCTCTTTCCAATTCAACTCTGAACTCCCGAATTTCGATTCCGACTACGCGTACAAATCATAATACCTGAAGTGAAGCTGCTCATGGCCTCAAACTACCGAACGACGCGTTAGACCTCAAAACGATCAGTCGGGTCGTAACACAAAAATCCTTCAACGCCTCAAAACGACCAATAAGTTAAAGGATGACATAATGCCACATTGCTTAATACGCCTACTTTAATTTTCTTGGTCAGTCAAGCTCAGGGATAAGGCTGTATGGTGGGCCGGTCTGGGACCGTGACCGGACCGGGCCCGCGGTCTTAACGGGCTAAACGGTCCCGGCGGGCCGGTCCTGGTGGGCCGGTCCCTGATGGTGTAGAAAGCCCGTGGCGGGCTGGTCTCTTGCGTGAGGCCCACGAGACCGGGACCGCTAAGCCCGGGACCGGCAGGCGGTCCTGGGCCGGTTCAACCGGGACTAACGGTCCTAACGGGCTCCAACGGCTCTTTTCTAAAAAAAAAAAATTTTTTTTTTTTTAAAAAAGACCAACGGTCAGATTTTAAAATCTAGCCGTTGGCCTTTAATTTTCAACCGTTTGGAACTTTAAAAAATAGCCATTTGGCCCCCAAACTTTATATAATTACACTTTTTTCCAATTCTCAACTATAAATACCTCCTCATTCTTTCATTTTTACTCACCAATTCATCAATCTATCTCAATCTCTCTCAATCTCTCTCAATCTATATCTAATTTCTCTTCTATAATTGCTTATTTTATTATTGCAATTTCGTGAAAAATTGTGAAGTTGGTGAATTGAAGTATTCAAGTCTTCAACGATTTTCAATTTTCAAGAAGTTGTTCGGCAATTCGGTAAACTCGTTCCAACTCTTAAGTTTTAAGAATATATTTTTGTGTGTTTAGTTTGCATAATTGTAATTAATATGGCATTTTCTTTGAAAAAAATGTTTGGTGGTAAGGGAAAAGCTAAAATTGGTGAAAGTAGTCTCCAACCTACTACCCTTCCCCCGGCTCCCCGACCCAGACCTATTACTCGTCCTGCTGCTCCTATTATTCTTGATAGTGATAACCCTTGTTTTCAATTTTCCGATAGTGAATTTTGCCATAATGTTGCACAAGGTGAACAATTAAATGAAGAAGTTATGAATGCTCTTTATCCTAATCAAACTATCTTAGAAAATGATGAGGAAAATGAGGATGTAGATGAAACTCAACCGGATTTAGATGATTCACCTACTAGTCCTGTTAATAACCCAACTGATGCCCCGCCCGACCCACCTGTAGAAACCCCTACTTTTAATAGACAACCTTCTAAACGCCTAGAAACATCAATAGTTTGGAATTTTTTTACTCAAGTAAGAGAACAAAATAAGGCTAAGTGTAAAACTTGTGGGAAATTGCTGGCGCATAAATATACTGGAGACCGTAGCGGTACGGGTAGTTTGGCTAGGCACATACAAACACACCCTAGAGATAAAGTTAAATATTTACAAATGAAAGCGCAGCAAGAGGGGACAAGTGTAGATACTGCGGTTAACCCTAGTACAGGTTCAAATCTAGCTCAACCAGGAATTAACACTGTGACCGGTGGTATTTTATATTACGATCCTAATAAAGATCGTGAAGAATTAGCAAAGATGGTTACCGTTATGTGCTTACCATATACTTTTCCTTCTAACCCTAATTTTGTGCATTATATTGGAAAAGTTTTTAATCCTACTTATAAAGGTTGGCCTCGCGCAACAGTTAAGAGCGATATTTATAAATATAAACATGAATATGAACAATATTTGCGGTATTTATTTACTCATATTACTAATCGGATTTCTATTACTACTGATATTGGTAGAAGTAATAATGACTGTGATTATCTAACTGTTACAAGTCATTGGATAGACGAGGAGTGGATAATGCAAAAACGCATTATTGCGTATAGAATAATTAATTCACGTCACACAGGTAAGTTTATTGCTAACACTGTTGCAGATATTTGTAGATATTTTTGCATTAGAGATAAAATAATGGCAATTTCTATGGATGATGCTTCTAGTAACACTAGTGCTATAGGCATACTTACAACAACACTAAATCATGCATTTAGTAATTGTTTCCATGTGAGATGTATTTGTCACATTTACCATTTAATCATCGGTGATGGTATGAGAATTTTAAATTTAGAAATTGAAAAGGTTAGAATGGCTCTTAATTGGCTTTTTTATTCTTTTCCGCCACCACCAACGGAACCTCCTCCGAACCTTGAAAGATTTATGAGATTTGTTAGAGATACAATGTAGATTATGGTGTAACTTGTACTTTGGCATATCTTCTTTAGTTTTTTTTCCTTTTAATGGTGGTATTAGTACCTTGTTGTGCTCATTCCATTGGGGGGAAGAAGACTAAGAAAGATATGCCATTTTTGGTAATAAAAATTATAAGACACGCCCTTGAATATCTCTTCGCAATATTTTTTTGTCTTTAACTTGCAATTATTTATAAGCTATAATATATATACATAACATACAATATATACTACAAGAAAATATATAAGGGAATATATATACATAACATACAATATATACTACAACAAATTATATAAGGGAATATATATACATAACATACAATATATACTACAAGAAAATATATAAGGGAATATATATACATAACATACAATATATACTACAACAAATTATATAATGGAATATATATACATAACATACAATATATACTACAAGAAAATATATAAGGTATAATATATTATATATATACATAACATACAATATATACTACAACAAATTATATAATGGAATATATATACATAACATACAATATATACTACAAGAAAATATATAAGGGAATATATATACATAACATACAATTTATACTACAACAAATTATATAATGGAATATATATACATAACATACAATATATACTACAAGAAAATACATAAGGGAATATATATACATAACATACAATTTATACTACAACAAATTATATAATGGAATATATATACATAACATACAATATATACTACAAGAAAATATATAAGGGGAATATATATACATAACATACAATTTATACTACAACAAATTATATAATGGAATATATATACATAACATACAATATATACTACAAGAAAATACATAAGGGAATATATATACATAACATACAATATATAGTACACTATACTAGTATACTATATATATTATATTTACATGAAGAAGTAGTACTATATATACTACAAAACAAGATTTTTCAAAATGAGGGCCCCACCCCCAATGACCACCAACGGTCATATTAATTGCACAAATAGCCGTTTTTTTTTAATTTACAAAACTAACCTTCTCTAACACTATAAGTACCCCCCTCCCTCTTCTTCATTTCAATACTCAATACTCATTTCTCAATCTAAATTTCTCTCAATCTCTCAATCTCCAATTTTCAAGACTTCAAGTCTCAATCTCAATTTTCAAGTTAAATCATGCCTCGTTCGGAAAGAGTGCGCTTATTTGTTTCGCAATACTATGAAGTGCTTGAAGAAAATGAAGAAGGCCAAATATTAAAGTGCAAGAACTGTGGAAAAGTCTTAAATTTTCGTTCAGGGTGTACCACAGGCATTTTAAGGAGGCATATAAAGTATTGTGTTGAGGGTATTTATCCGCAAATTCGTCTTTAAGATTTTTCAACAATTTGTGTTATTTTAAAATTATTAGACGTATTTATGCTTCATGTTGTACTTTGTTATTAATTTATTATGCATGCCAATTTAGTTTTACTATTGATTTGTTATTTTACATTTTTGTCAAACACTTTAATAATTAGATTTCTATATTATATATACTACATATATTTATATAGCCATGCATAAGAGCAATTTATATATACACATACACATATGGTTTACAAGAAATTGCCTTAAATAAAAAAAATTAAAAAAAAAAGCCCGAAAATAAAAAAAGCCCGTTAGGCCCGCTAAGCCCACGAGCCCGGCCCATTTAGCCCAGGACCATATGGGCTTAGGCCCGTCACGGGCTGGTCCTACCCGTTGAGCCCACGAAGCCCGGACCGCGAAGCCCGGGACCGCTAAGCCCGGCCCGTTTAGCCCGGCCCGTTTAGCCCATTTAGGCCCGGCCCCGGCCCACAAGTATCCCTGAGTCAGGGATACTGAATCTGGATTTATGGAGGTCTTTGCTAAGTGCTCCGTTTATCCAAAAATTATTCGGCGCCATTAATTAAATTAGCAAAGCAAATATGTTTTTTCTTTGATAGATCTTTTCAAATAAATTTAACTTTTTTTTTGATTATAAAACAGGTAAGTGAAGATTCATGCATTCAATCCAACTTATTTGGAGCGTTTGATAATAAATTTCCAAATTTGTTTTGAAAAATCTGATTTGGGTGAAATTTGGTTTGAAGATGAAAATATGTTTGGCATCCGTTTTCAAAACATATTTTCCAAATTTATTTTGGAAAAATATGTATATATATTATTAGTGTTTGTAGATATTTTGGCCTAAAACCAACTATTGAGCTGGTTTTGGGATTTGGGATTTTGCCAAAATGTTGGCAAAATTTATGGCCAAACATGTGATTGCCAAATAAAATTCAAATTTATTTTAGCAAAATCTATGGCCAAACGGGTCTTTAGAAATAAATCGATATTGTTGCTTTAATTATAAGAATTATTATAGTTAGTATATTTATATAGTTTTTAAATATATAAATGTTAACTTTAGAAATCTATGAAATCAATATCTGACATATGAAATTAAATTCTTGTTTGGCAATCGTTGGGTCAAAGAATAAAAAGAAGGAATCAGTATGCAAAAGCAAAACCAATTTCGCCATTCCAAACACTGCCTCGGACAACCTCAGCCGCCACTCCAATATCTGGTGTAGGCATATCTAAATCTAATATTCTTAGGTAACAGAAATCTATATATAAGCAAACACGTGTTCCCATTTCTAAATATACCAATTGATACTCTCGACTTTCCCAAAGAATCAAATCATCAGTAAAAAAAGCCACACTGTAGAGTCCTCCGTTTAGTAAAAGTCCTCCAATGTCTAATTCCGATCACCAAAACCCATCTGCTATCGATGGCAACACCTTCGTTGCCATGTGCCTTGCACGAGCCGGTGTAGACCGGATGTTCGGCGTCGTCGGAATACCCGTTACTTCCCTTGCGAACCGGGCGGTCGCTCTCGGTACCCGGTTCATTGCTTTCCACAACGAGCAATCCGCCGGTTACGCTGCTTCAGCTTACGGCTACCTTACGGGTAAACCTGGTATTCTCCTCACAGTCTCCGGTCCAGGTTGCGTTCATGGCCTAGCCGGACTTTCCAATGCAACCGTTAATACATGGCCCATGGTCCTGATTTCCGGGTCATGTGATCAGAAGGATTTGGGCCGGGGCGATTTTCAAGAATTAGATCAAATTGAAGCTGTTAAACCCTTCTCTAAATACTCAGCTAAAGCTACTGATATAACGAAAATCCCTAGCTGTGTTTTCAGTGTTTTGGATTGGGCCGTGTCGGGTCGACCCGGTGGTTGTTATTTGGATCTTCCTACTGATGTACTTCATCAAACTATTAGTGAATCTGAAGCCCAGAAATTAATCAATGATGCTGAGAATTGTAGGATTAAGGAGGTTAATCTTAAACCCATTGTTAAACATTCCGAAATTGGAAAGGCGGCTGCTTTATTAAGGAAAGCAGAGAGGCCTTTGATTGTGTTCGGAAAAGGGGCTGCAATTTCTAGAGCTGAAAATGCTTTGAAGAAGTTAGTTGAAAGTACTGGAATACCCTTTTTGCCAACACCAATGGGAAAAGGTTTATTGCCTGATAATCATGAGCTAGCTGCTACTGCTGCTAGATCACTGGCAATTGGTAAATGTGATGTGGCGTTGATAGTTGGCGCGAGGCTTAATTGGCTTTTGCATTTTGGAGAGCCACCAAAGTGGTCTAAGGATGTGAAGTTTATTTTGGTTGATGTAGCTGAGGAGGAGATAGAGCTTAGGAAACCATGTTTAGGGTTGGTTGGTGATGCTACTAAGGTTGTTGAGATGTTACATAAGGAGATTAAGGATGACCCATTTTGTTTGGGGAAGTCTCATCCTTGGGTTGAGGCATTGGCAAAGAAGAGTAAGGAGAATGTTTCGAAAATGGAGGCACAGCTGGCAAAGGATGTTGTGCCATTTAATTTTATGACACCAATGAGAATTATTAGAGATGCAATATTGCAAGTGGGCAGTCCTGCTCCTGTTGTTGTCTCTGAAGGCGCAAATACTATGGATGTGGGGCGATCAGTATTAGTTCAAACGGATCCAAGGACCCGGTTGGATGCGGGGACGTGGGGGACAATGGGAGTTGGTCTAGGGTACTGCATTGCAGCTGCTGTTGCTTGTCCTGAAAGGCTTGTAGTAGCTGTTGAAGGGGACTCTGGATTTGGCTTCAGTGCCATGGAAGTTGAGGTTCGTTGTCTTTCTTTCTTATATCTTTTGCTCTTGATCCTCTATTAATAGTAATTTAATAGCATCTCGCTGTCTTTAATTGTTACCCCAGAATGCCTTTCTTTTCATGGTGATCAGACAAGTTCTTTATTACTTTTGCTGCTTGTTACTAGAATATAAATCTCGTTTGGTAAATTTACCATTCTTTGTTGAGTAATAATTAATCCCCACGAAATAGATTTTCCTCATTTATATGGAGTTGAACTTGTTCGTACCTAATCTTAGGCTCTGATGAAGCTCGAAATGCTAACTTTTCCTGCTAATTAGAGAACTAGCTGTAGGCAGTTAATGTCCATGTCGGTTGTTAAGGATTGAGGATTCTTCTGTAGTTTCATTATACGCTTGTTTACTGTTTCAGGGGTTAGTCAGATTTGATAGTCAACAGCAGTTGCTATCTTTCTAAGTAGCACGTTGGGTTTCAGGATTAATATCAATAAATGGATTAGCTTAGACTTCTTGACGTTGGATTAGATTTTGTATGGCGTCTTAATGCCATTCCATATTAGAGACATACTATTATCTCGTTTGGCAATTCTGCACCACTAAATTTTAATATTTACTGGACCATATCTGGCAGACGTGCGTGTTTGGCTGTTATAGGTTCCCTTCTGCAACTTTGTTAATGTAAAACCCGACTCATGTTTTAGTCTTCTAATGCAGAAGTGGATTTGAATTGGTTCAGAGCTTGTTAAGGTCAAGTCCCTAAGCCATTAGTCTGAGTTACATCCTAGTTCGCCCAATGAAGCAATCTTCTAGGGTACAAGGATCTTATCGTTTTTCTAGTTGAAAAGATAGTTAAACGGGAAGTTAAGGGGATTAGGAATGAAGCCTTGATCTGCTGTGCCTCGGCATAGCACGGTGATGCCATAAGTTAGTACAATTACTTAAACCTTGTTGTGCAACTACATCAGAGAATTCAACTTGATGTGATAAGTTAGGATTTGGGATTTTTGTAACCGCTCTAATTTTGAAATCAATACTTAGTATAATTGATGAGCACACAAATTATAGTTTGAGTTAGCAAAATTATCAGTTTAATGTTCTGTCTGTAGAAATATGGACCAAACTTTACAAGTACATAATTATTTTAAGAACATCTTACTTTCCATATATTAGAAAGATATTCGATGGGACATTGAATCAACCAACAGTTCGTTAACTAGCGGTTGCGACTGGAACCTAGGCCCTTCCCTTGGTGTGCGGTTCTTAATGTTGTGCCCATAACCTGTCATATCAGTACTTGCCCTCATCTTGTGCTACCCCTTAGACCAGTTCTGGGGTGATTCATGATTTTTCTTATCTATTTATTATTAACCCTGCAATGTTACGCTTTCAGCTTTTCCCCCTTGTTGCTTGTGGCAGTAACCTCTTACATTTGTAGGACTTATAAGTTTCTTATGGATACATGATCTCTCTTTTGCTTTCTGTTTAAACTTAATAGCACTGATTACACTCTTCGCAACGCAATGTTATACTGCAAAGTATACCTAACATCCTCAGCTTGTTCTCAGTCATTTGCTAGGGCACTTGTTCCTTCTAATTCTATGTTAAACTTATTAGTTAGAGTTAAATGTGACACTGTTGGCTCCCATATCAATTTCTTGGTTTACTTTCTTTTGAATTTTTGTTTACTCTTCTAATTCAGTGTAACTTATGTACTGCAGACCCTAGTTCGCTATCAGCTCCCCGTTGTGGTTATAGTCTTTAACAATGGCGGAGTTTATGGTGGTGATAGGAGGAACCCTGAAGAAATCACTGGGCCTTACAAAGAAGATCCAGCACCCACCTCTTTTGTTCCTGGTGCATCGTATCATCTTCTAATTGAAGCCTTCGGAGGAAAAGGATACCTAGTTGGCACACCTGATGAACTTAGATCTGCACTTTCTGAATCATTTTCGGCTAGGAAGCCTGCTGTTATCAACGTAACAATTGATCCTTATGCTGGTTCAGAGAGTGGCAGGCTTCAGCACAAAAACTGAAGTTCGGGGTCTGTGATTATTTGCGTCTAAGATATGCTTGCTGAAGTTCAGTTTTTGTCTGCCACTGGTACAAACAGGGGGAAAAAAGGGAAAAAGAAGAGAGACTGCTCTTGCGACTTGGAGAAAAGGAATAACGATGGAAATAGGATAAGTGACTCTCTCATCTCAACGATGCCATCTTCTTAATGATTGTATGAAGGTTATTTTTTAAATATTTTGTTAGTGTTGTCACAGATAGAGGATGGTCTTCAGATAACAGTTGACTATGATGAATGAATTTTCATATACTATGGCGTTAAGGAGGGGAAAACTCTTATGTAATAAGTAAATTGAGTTGATCAGTATAATGGATTTGCAATAAATATTCGCCCTTGTACCTACCTACGAAGGTTACTTTTAAGATGATTCCTATGGTTTTTCTGAAGTCGCACCAGGGGCGGACCCACCTTACAGAAAGGGTGTTCAATTGAACCCGTTTCATCAAAAATAATCTGTTATTTTTACCTATAAATAAATGTCATCAGAAAAACACAAAAAACGTAGTATATAAAAAAGAACCTGAACCCACTTGACATAAACAGAAGTTGCAGAGCAACGGCCAAGTAGGTTCAAAATGTAGCAAGGGTCACAAGTTCTCAAACCCAAGCAGAAAATTTTTCTTTTTCATTTTAGCAAATGGCCCTTATGCTAAACGTCTATCCTGGACACACAATTGAATTCATGTTTCAGTTCATCAAATTTGTTATACTCACCATTCGGCGGTTACTCAGTTGGTTTGGAGGGTGGTAATCCATACGGATGGCCTGTGATCGAATCCCCCCTCAATGCCTTCTGGGTAGAGCCTGTCGCACAGGGTTTGCCTAGTGCGGTTTACATTCCCTGTTCGGTTTGCATGCTATTACACAGGGGGAGGTTTACCCAGTGCACACAAAATGCTAACCACAGAGTGCTCCCCCGAAGGGCAGAGGTTGTGACAGAGGTCGTAGGGGGTTCCCCTCTTACCAAAAAAATTTGTTATACTCGTATATATTGTTAACTTTGTCGTTTTCTATTGTCTTTTGTTTTCCTGTTCTCTTTTATGATTTCTTTTCTTTGTTTAAATCCAATAAAAACTATTCTTATTTAACTCTATTTTACTCCAAAAAAAAAAAAAAAAAAAATTTACTAAGTGAATTTTGATTCTCTTTCATAAGTTTTGATAAACCATGAGAGTGCTTTAACAAAATTACTTATAATCTTTTAATTTAATTTTGTTTAGTTTATGTTGAAATTGTTAATTTGTGTTAAACTGAAATTTTAGCTTGATGTATAATTCTTTTTCTTTAGTTGTTTGTATTAATTAGTTTAGTTATAATTCTCTTTTTTAGTATTTTTGTTTGTAACAACTTTGTTGATCAGATTCTTTCTTAGAGTTACCGTAAGATTTTTAAGTTACTAAAATGGCCAAGTTTGTTGAAGTAAAGTTTGTTAATTTATATAGATGAGTTTTTAAAAAATAAAAGTAAATAGACTTTTTATGTTACTGTTTTTTAATTTTCCCCAACCTTTTTTTAAAAAATAAATAAAATCATTTTGAGGTTGTGTGATGAACAAAAAAGAGTCGTGAACAAATTCTGATTACCGGTGTGCTTATACTACCGTGATTTTTTATTGAACCCGCTTGTATAAAATCACGGATCCTGTTGGGAAGCGTGTCAAGCTAATAGAAGGAAAAAATAATTAAAAGAGAAAAAGCAATAAATTGCACAAGACAAGATAAGACAAAATTTACGTGGTTCGATAATTTTTACCTACTCCACAGCCACATGAAGAATAACTCTTTATTAATTAAAGAGAAAGAAGAAGTTGTGAGGATTGATTACAACTGAATAAGAGGATGCTACTCTACTGGAAAAAAAAGTTCTATAAATACGCGGCCCGATGGCACCACAAACTGTGCGCCGAATTTTTTGTGATAGTCCAAGATTTGTGACACTTCTTTCTTTATGTCTCTTTCTTTCTTATCTTTGCTTCTTTTTCTTTGACTTTTTATTTACCCACATGGTTTGTCCCATCAATCTCCCCCTCAAATTCATATACATTAACAAGGAAAAATAAAATAAAAAGATTTGTTATTCTCTTATGGTGTCTTCACATTATCAATCTTGAAGGCTAACTGAGGCAGTGCACAACCTCAGTTTGTCAACACCGATAATTTTAGTTAACATATCTGATGGATTCTTCGACCCTGGTATCTTCTGTAGAGAAAGAGTTCCTTCACTTATCAACTCTCGGATATGATGATACCTCAGCTGGGTATCCTTCGTCTTGCATGAAACACTGGATTCTTGGCAAGATGAATTGCACTCTGGCTATCGCTGCAAAGCTCACAATTGCCCTGCTCTTTACCTAGTTCTTTAAGAAAATTCTTGAGCCAATTCATCTCTTTTCCAGCTTCTGAGATTTCCATGTACTCTGCTTCAGTGGTAGATAGAGAAACACTTTTCTGAAGTCTAGACATCCAGCTAACAGCAGTACCACTCAAGGTGAATACGCTGCCTATGGTACTTTTTTTAACTATCCAGATTGCCGCCTAAATTTGCATCAGCAAAACCTTGTAAGATAACATTGCTCTTTTTAAAACAAAGTGTCGTACCTGAGGTGCCTTTGAGACATCGCAATATCTATTTTACACCTTCCCAATGCTCCTTTCTGGACCTGACATGTATCCACTGACAAATCCAACTGGATGGGATATGTCAGGTCTAGTACAAACCATAACATACATCAAACCTCCAACTGCTGAAGCATATGGAACTTTGGACATGTACTTCCTTTTTTCATCTGCCTTTGGTGATTAGTCCTTTGATAGAGTAAGATGGCTTCCAAGTGGAGTGCTCCTGGTCTTTTCATCATGAAGACTAAACTTGCTTAGTACCTTTTGTGTGTACTTTTCTTGAGATAACTTTAGAGTTCCTTCAGACTTATTTATGCTAATCCTCATCCCAAGCATTTGCTTAGCTGGTCCTAAGTCTTTCATTTCGAACTCTTAGCCCCAATTGTTGCTTAACCTTGTTAATCTCATTTATGCTAGATCCTGTCATTAGCATACCAACAACGTACAATAATAAAATGATATATGATCATCAAGATTTTTGATATAACATCAATGGTCCATCTCACATCGTGTGAAACCATTTTTATGCATGAATCCATCAAATTTCTTGTACCATTATCGGGGAGCTTGTTTCTAACCGTACAAAGTCTTCTTCAACTTACACACAAGGTTTTCTTTACCAGAAACTTGAAAACCTTCAGGTTGCTTCATGCATGTCTCTTCTTCAAGGTTACTATGCAAGAAAGTAGTTTTAACATCTAGCTGCTCCAAATACAACGCTCTGGCTTCGTCATCAGATATTATATTAATAGAACTCAACTGAGTTAATATTTCATTAAACTCATTGATATGTTCCATAACAGATCCACCTTCTGTCATCTTCAAGTTGAACAATCGACACATCAAATAGACTTTATTTGAAGCAGATGGCTTCTCGTATATATTTGATAACGCCTTCATCAGGCCTGCAGTGGTCTTCTCGTTAATGATGTTAAACGCTATATTTTGTGTTAGCGTCAAACGAATCACACCAAGAGCTTGGCGATCTAATAGATCCCAATCCGCTTTTGCCATATTCTCTGGTTTTATCCCGATAAGAAGTAAGTGTTATTTTTTTGGTTCAAATAATCTTCTATTTGTATTTTGCAGAATCCAAAATCTTTGCCATTGAACTTGTCAATCTTTACCTTCCTTTCTTCCAATGCCATTTTTCACAACAAAAACAAAATATAGGAATAGTGCCTGTGAATAGTAACCGCAAATGTACTCTATATAAGAAAAAAAATCTCAATCGTATAAGGTAGACAACAATCACTATTTGTGAGCAGCACTATCACTATTAATGAATAGTACTTCACTATTGTGAATAATGTTAGTATTGATGACCAATAGTGTCGCACTTTCTTGTGAATAGTACCTGCACCAATACTATACTTTCTACCAGAATTACATTGCCTACGCTCGATAACAGTTGTTGGGAAGTGTGTCAGGCTAATAGAAGGGGAAAATAATTAATAGAGAAAAGCAACAAATTGCACAAGACAAGACAAAGACGAGATTTACGTGGTTCGACAATTTTTGCCTACTCCACAGCCACACAAAGAATAGCTCTTTATTTATTGAAGAGAAAGAATAAGTTGAAGGATAGATTACAACTGAAGAAAAAGTTTCAGCGAATGCGAATACTCGGCAGGATGGCACCACAAACTGCGCGCCAAATTCTTTCTTTCATATTGTGGCAGCCCAAGTTTTCTAACCCTTTCTTTCTTTATGTCTCTTTCTTTCTTATCTTTGCTTCTTTTTCTTTGACTTTTCATTTACCCACATGGGTTTGTTCCATCAGGTGCACCATTGAGTCTCACATTTATCATCCCTCAGTTTTGGAGTTTCCTTAAGCTAAATTAGAGTTAGTATCTCCGGCGTTTTCTTGTGTTATTTTATAAGAAACGGTAACAAATATATGACTCTTGTTTTAAAGCAGAATTATGATTGCACAGTACAAATACAGTTTGGATAGAATCACACTGGTTTGTGCAACTCCTAAATTACAGTCTGCTTAAGGCATAGTCCCGTTGCCTAGTCCTGCTTTGCTTTATGTTTTGTCATTTCGTACAAGTGAATTTAGCAGCAACATTTCTAAATAAAGATTAAGGTATATAGCTATATAGTTTAAAATATTGTAAATGAGTCGAGAAATTTTATATTGGGTGAGATTCACCCAACAATAGTTGTATGAGGTTACCCTTTATATTTGACAAGTGTGGTTGTTGGTCCATTTACTGACATTGGATTAATTTAAAAAAACAAAGAAGAAAAAGTGATTTTGTTATTGATGTGGATCCCACCTCCACCCGTAAATTCAATAAATAATTAGTTAAATAGTACATGAGAAATGGAGGGAAAGAAAACATGAAAGCCATTTTCCTCCTTATTTACCTTATTTACTCATCACCAAACAATAGTTGTATGAGGCCACCCTCTATATTTGACAAGTATGGTTGTGGGCCCATTTACGAAATTGGATTAATTTTAATAAACAAAGAAGAAAAAATGATATTGTAATTGATATGGATTCCACCCCCACTAATATATTCAATAAATAAATAGTTAAATAGTACAAGAGAACGGAAAGAAAAACGTGAAACTCATTTTTCTTCCTTAATTACCTTATTTGCTCATCACCGAGAAATTTTATTTTGGGTGAGACTCACCCAACAATAGTTGTATGAGGTCACCCTCTATATTTGACAACTGTGGTGGGCCCATTTACTGATATTGGATTAA